CTGGTGGATGGCAAAGTCATCTCTTCCCAAGTGAAATCAGTGGAAGAAAAAACATCTAAATAAACTGCAAGAAAGAAATATTTCAAAGCTTGCTTTTGAGGGAAAACTTGGGTAGAAGAAAGCCATCGGAATCAATTGTCAATTTGCAGCTTAGCAGCTTTTTGCTAATACGGGACTGGGATTCAAATTTAATCAAATTTACTTAGAGAAGACTCACTGAAACCAAAAATAATTAATTATAGAACCAAACCAAGGAGTCTAGAAAAATAAATTCTACACATTATGCCTTCTTCTAACTTTAAAATACTGACTTAAAAATCACATTCTGTTTTCTGCTGCAATGCAATAAATCTTCTGTTTGCAAGTTATATCTGTCTGAGATTCTTGTTTTACATTCTGGTTTTCATATTTAATAGCAAATTTAAAACATACTGAAGTTTCAGAGTTCTGTAATTACATCAGAACCCCCATGGCTATTTAATATAAATAAAAGTTTAACTGGGTTAAAATTAATAATTTAGCTATCTGCCTGGAGATTTAGCTCAGCTCATTCCTTTAAAAAAGGGTGTGTGTGTGAATGTCATATAAGAAAGCACTGTGAAAAGAAATCCAGATTACCCCTGCAAGAAAAATTGAATGCAGTTGTCAATAAGAGATTTATTGGCAGAGATAACATGGAAAAAAAATCAGTATATGAAAATATAGGTGAATGTATTTGACCACCAGGAGCAAATCAGATTACAGAAACAAAACAAAATAAAACAAAACAAAACAAAAGATGCAAGTGGAGAATTCTGTGACTTCATCATTGTAGGGAACATAGGTGTCTAACATGATCTGTTAGAACTTGTTAATCTATAGTTCTTTGATGTTCCACTGGAACGTGCTTTCCTTTTTCAACAAGCTCTCATTCCATTATTAAAAGTACAAATTGTCTAATGCCCGGGACATCTCCCTCACCATATCAGCATAATTCATTTTTCAAATTTGTACAAATCACATGCTCAAAAGGTTCTTCCACTTCGTCACCTTGATTATTGCAGCTAAACTAATTTCCTCTATTGAAGAGCCAGTATCTCTTATGTGCATATCACACTTCTATGTATTTAGGTTCAGAAGAGCATATGTACATACATGAATATATGCATAAAAGAGTTATAGTGTAAATAGCCTAGTTCAACATCAGAAATAGAATAGTTACACTTTAACCCCTTGATAAAACAAAATTTTACATACCAAAGTATTTATTAATTATTATTACTATTATTATATTACTATAATGTAATTATATTACTATTACTAATTATTAATTACTTGCTAAAACTGCTATGGTTGCTGGTATATGTCCATTTCATACTGAAAGACTTTTGGTTTAAAATGGAGACATGTGATTATTTACTTACATTTCAATTTATTTATATATTCAGCCCATCTCACTATCCAAAGCCAACTCTTTGGTAATGTCCATTAGCTGACTTGCAAGCACCCTAGGCAGATGAAAGTCTAGCCTCTGAATGATTCAAAGCCTCTCCACTCTCTGGGAAAATCACTATCAAACTGCATTTGTTGGTAACAGGTTTCCTATAAAGCTCAACAAAATCCATCTTCCAGCAACTTATAACCATTATTCCATCGCCTCTACCCAGGAACAAGAGGAAACAGGCCTTAGAAGTCTCTGCAGAGATTATCTAAGACATAACAATTATTTCAACAGATCCTGCAGGGTAAAAAGGTTGAAAAATTCTATTTTAATTTACAAAGTTCATTTTGAATTGTACATGTCTTCTAAGGTATAAGTTATCCCATCAAATAATGTAATATCTGAAAATTTGATGTGAATGTCTTTCACATCTTCATCCAAATAATTAATGAAAATATTGCAATGGAAGATCCAAGACTGACCCCTGTAGCATCCTGTATCTCTGCATTTTGGTAAAATACCTGATGAATAATCTTTGAGTATAATATTTAGGGACCTTCACAAATAACAGTGAAGGTTTATCAGAGATTTTACTGATAAAATTCTGAATGATTACACTGATTACATTGGATAAGCAAAGATGAAGTGAATTATATTTTCAGAAAGCAAACATATTCTATTGGAGGGTTATTTGGGAAAACTCTCAGCCTAATGTGTCATTCTGAAAGTTCCAGTTGTTAATCTTTGAAGGACATTTTAATTTTTCACATTAAATGCATCACAAGGTTTGTCTTTCAATGGCAAATTTTCATCCCTGGAAAATTTCATTGACTATTAACAGAAATTGACATGAAATATACCTAATATATTGGAGGGTCTTATGATCCAATTGTAAAAATACCACATCTCTTTATATTATCCACCAGAAAAATGTGATATGCAACAGCATGATAGCTACAATTTGACTATTCTGATTATGCTAATTAGCAAAGAGATTTGGAAATTATGAGGTGATCTTATTTGGAAAACATGTGGAATATGGAACGTATACTTATTATTTATTAACTAATAAAAACAGATAATATACTAATCAGACTGCAGTATGAATACCACTAACCAGCTGTCAATTGGGAAGTTGATCTGACTGAGGCAATCTTGGAGGATAGGGAGGGGGGAATAGAGATAGTTGGAGTTTTGTAGCCAAAACAAAATAGTTCTCCTGAGAACCAAGAACATTCCCACAGGTGGCTGAAGAGAGGAGAAGTGAAGTTTCCAAGCAACTGGACAGCACTTTGTTTGGATCATGTAGTGACTGCTTGGGAAAGAGGGGAAAACTTTTACCTTTAATCAGTTGAAAACAGCAGGAACTTTAGAGTCTGTTTTCACCACTCTGTGCCGATATGATATATCCAATAAACCTATTTTTTAGGAACTTACTTGCCTCAGAGTTCTGTTTGCTATGGGTGTATTATGTGGAACCCTGACACCAGCCTTTTTTAAAAATTAATATTGATGCTTCTTAGAATGCAAATCAATAATATGGAAACTGACAAAATGACTAAGAAATTGGTCGTGAATGTCTTTGTTAAGTGTGAAAAATCCATATCAGTAGGACAAAGGACATTCATTCTCCTCTGATTTTATAACTGTTTGAAGAACCAAATTCCCTTTCCATATTTGAGTAATTATTCCATTATTTGGAGATATAATCAAATTTATGTATGCATATTATTTCATTTGTAATCTTCGATGTACTATTTTTCCTCCTTTTTTCTTTTAAACTTTTACAGACTTAAATATAAGCAAAACTAAATGCATAGTATACAATAGGCACAGGTGTAAGGCTAGTAGTAATTAATATGAATGTAATTTCTCCCTTTGTCTTCTTTTATTTTCTCTGTTTTATGTATATGTAAATTAATTTTGGCTAATTATTATTTTGTTATTTCACTTGTATTTAAAAAATTAACAGATTAAAAAAGGAAGTACCAAATTACGAATCCACAAATACCATTTCCCAATTTATTTAAAATCTTCTTATTAGCAAACTATTTTAAATCTTAGGTTTAAAATAATTAAGGGTTTTTTTTTCTAGAAAAGACCCAGAAGTTTATGGAAGTCAAGTAGGGGAGACTATTAGAATAATTTCATTAGCTGTTATAGTAACAAATCTTATAGAAACTGGAGAGCTATAATATTACATTTCAATGTTGCAAGTTTGTAGAATGCCTAAGCTTGTATATATTATTCTTTAGCACTCTTTGAACCTAGGAAACATTAACTATGTCATTTAGCTGTAGGAAAGCTCAGATGATTATACAATGATTCACAAAGTTGTAATCCTGTATAAACAAATAATATAATTTATATGATTCATATGATTTACTTATTATTTCTTTTTACCTGGCACTTAAGCCAAAAGGTAGCTTATAGATTACTTTTCCAAAAGAAAAATGAAAGGCAGGCTCCCTGCCCTCAGGCTTATGTTCTAAAATAATAGCACAAAAGAAATATGGAGGCACCATATTTAATGTTATTCAGTTCTTAGCAGGTTCTAGTCTGTGTATTTCTAGCACAGAAAATAATACAACAGCTAATAAAGGTTCTTATTTTTCTTCTTCCCCTTTTGAAACCATGTTTTAAAATATTTAAACAAAAGAAAACTTCCTTTTGATCTTAATGTTTAAATATGAACTTAAAAAGAAATAAGTATTCATATTTCTCTGCCTTTCTTTTATCAAGTTTTTCAATAATGGCTTGCCCCTTGCATCAACAGCTATTCTTTTGAATGACCAGCATGCTGCTGGAATCATATAATGTAGTTTGCTTTTTAATCAGTCCTTTGAATTAAAAAAAATCTTTCTAGGCTCCTCCTATTGTTTTTTTATGTGCTTAAAAAGACGCTGAACAAAATTATCATCTTTTTTATTTTTCTTGAGTGAGGATCCAATACTATGAACCAATTCCACACTAATATACCAAAGGTCAACACCTGGGGTTTATATTCCATTTGAATTATTTTATCTGGTGAGTGAATTAAATCATGTGCAACACAGACTTACTGAATAACTAGTGAAAAATGAAGAGTATGTCACAGAATATTTATTTTCATGTTAGAAAAAACTTGTGTGGGCATAATACATATGTCAGGAATAAGCAACTCATGTTTCATTGGTATTCCCACAAGCTTTGCAAATGGTACTTGGGACTGAAACCTATGGCATCCATCTCTGATGGATAAGATAATAGTAGTAAATAACTACTGTTTGCCAAAAGAAGTATATGAGCATGACACCGTGCAAGGTTTTCATGCAACAATTAAGTCCTACATTTAAAAAAAAATCATAATGAAATGTTTCTCACTTTATGCTCTTAAAAATAAATAGCATGCATTTTTCCAGTCTTTGGCTTGTATACAAATGGACAGCTTTAGGGGCAAGCTTCAGGGGCAAGTTTGAAAAGAGCCATGATAACTAAGGGCTAATCAAGGAATGGGACGCTGCTGCTTTAAAAAAATCTGAGTTTCCCCTTCTGCTCTCCCTCCTCTGTCTCTCTCCCTCTTATTCCAATTGCAGGCTGGGAACGTTCTGCAGCAGTCTTCTCACCCTATCAATAAGGTTCAGTTAGCCAAGGTGGAGGATGGGAGCAGCATGGAACTGTCCCAGCTCCTCAATGAGATCAGGGCAAACTATGAAACGCTCCTCAGCCGAAGTCAGATAGAGGCCATCCTCTCAGCAGGGACCCAGGTAATGTCCATATACAAACAGGCACCTACTTGAATAAGGAGACAATCCGGTGTGCACTCAGTTCCTCTCTCAGCCTCTGTGAGGTACAGTATTTACATTTTCAATGCAGTGTTTTTTTTGGGGGGGAGCAACCATCTCTCTCTCTCTTTCTCCCCCCCTCCCTCCCTCCCTCCCTCCCTCCCTCTATCATCCACAGCACGTCTGGACTCTGAGAACAGGGGGAAATATGTTGAGGTTTTTAAAAAGAATAACAAAGTAAAGCTGGGTCACCTTGCATGAAAATATTTCTCAAAATAGAATAACAAATCTTGCACAGCTTCTCTGCTCCATTCATCACTTATATATAATATTCTCTAGGAAGAAAACTACTTAAGATTGGTAAAGAATTGATTTTAAAGATAGGTCAAGAGGAGCCTGTGTTTTATAGCATCTCTAAAAGAGAAAAGTCAAGATCACGCTGTTCTGCAATGCTTTGCTTGTCTGGCTTACGTCTCATGTTTGCTAAAGGTTATCCAATCACAAGGACAGCATTAAAAATTCACCCAGGAAAAAAAATGCCTTTGAATCACAGCCATAAAATGCACCAGACTGCTGATCTGATTGTCAGGAATAACATTAAACAGGATACATGCTGATGAGCATCCTACTGTGCCTTTGAGTTTGCCATTTCTGAATGAGTAATAGTTGTTGGGGGTTTTGTGTGTGTGTGTGTGTGTGTGTGTGTGTATCTTTTAATGGCTGGCTTGCTTTAGGTATCTGGGCAATCCAGTCCCAAAACTGCAAAAAAGATAAAGATATCTTTATCTTATGCTCCAGATAATTTGGCCTAGAGTAATTTGCCACTTAGTATGAGTCTCAGCCGATTAGTATCACAATTTATTTGGAGGGAAAGTCTCCAGGGAATGGCAAATTCTTTGCAAACTGTTGCCAAGGAAATTCCATTATTTGGATCCATGTAGTTTCATTCTTTGCTTCAAGCCAGTATTACAGGTAGTCCTTGATTTTACAACCATTTAGAGATCATTTCGAAGTTGTAATAGCACTAAACAAAGTGACTTTTGATTGATCTTTGCCTTATGACCATTGCAGCAACCTCACAGTTACATGACCAAAATTCAAGCACTAGGAAACCAACATGTATTTACCATAGTTGCAACATCTCAAAATCTTGTGATCACCATTTGGAACTTTCCCAGATGCCTTATGATAAGCGAAGTCAATGGGGAAGCTAGATTTGCTTAATGACTGCATGATTCACTTAACAACTTCAGTAATTTGCTTAGGAACCATGGTAAAAGTCATAAAATCAGCTTAGCCATGGAAATTCTGGTTGCCAATTTTGGTTGTTAAGTCAAGGACTATTTACATTATGGTTGCAATAGGACTGTTCTTGAACTTTGGATTCAAATTTTTTTAAAAAAAATTCAAGGACAAGGGAGCACAAACATAATACGTGTCTGAAATATCTCAAAGCAACTGCATCTTTCCTTTGGAATGTGACCTGGAAAATTTCCCAGGATCAAAATTCTCCCTGTCAGGCAACTCCAGCAGTTTTAAAGTTGTGTTATGTTTAGATTGCTCTAAGCAGTTGAAAGCAGAATTCCATTGGTCTCCCTCCTTCATATTCAGTAACATAATCCCAATACTTGTATAGACTATATGGCTTTTGAAATGAAGATGCTAAGTAGAGTTACATTTGTTTCATCTTTGTATCCAGAAAACCTTCATCTCTGTGGCACAGCTGCCATGATGTCCCAGGGAAATGCCCAGCTGCTTTATGCTGATGCAGATGAGATATATCTGCTCATTCCATATTCACCTTTTAGAGATCAAATTCAAAATGTCCACTGGCTTCTCCAGACAGCCTTGCATGCAATCACTGAAAATATGATTTAATGTTTTAAAACTAGTTTTACATACAGTATTCTTGTATTAGAATACAAAGACAAAGAAGGGTCAGTGGTCTCTTGTTCAATAAAGATCCTGGGGATAGGAAAAATGGAAGTTACCTGTGTTGTTTGGTTAGGTTTTTCACCAAGTATTTTCAGAATTCCACCATTATTTGTCAAGAGATAAGCAATTATGATACAATATAGCAATAGCAATAGCAGTTAGACTTATATACCGCTTCGTAGGCCTTTCAGGCCTCTCTAAGCGGTTTACAGAGAGTCAGCATATTGCCCCCAACAATCTGGGTCCTCATTTTNAGCACAGGTTCATTTTCTATAACTCAGCACAGGTTCATTTTCAAATTAGATAGTAGCTTTAAACCTCTAAAGTCTTTAGCAGCTTCCAGCTAACATTCCTTAGAGAAATTTTTTCTCCCTTAGAGAAAATGATCGCTTTTTATAATGTATGTGACAAAGTTTACAATGATAGTCCTAAAATCATGAAACGTATCCTATAGTCTTTTCCTTGTGTATATCTTTTGAAGTTTTTACAAACAGAAATGTAAAACTTTTATTTTACTTGCATTAGAGTGATTAATAGATTGCTCTTGAATTTTTTTGTGTTTTGTTTTATAGAGCTGCTGAGCTTGATGGTGCCTAACTTAAGCTATGAGAGTGTGGATGCTAATTCCAAATGTTTGCCATTGATGCTTTGAAAGGTTATTGCTAGTGAAATATTTTCATTATGGTTGGTGAAATGGTCTTTAATTCAGAGAGCACATTTTTAGCAATAATTTACTCAGTAAAATATTTGTTTCATTCAACTTCCTATGCACATTCCATCCCCTTTCTTGAAAATTTTGTTTCAGAAGACCAGATAAGTATCTGCAACTTCTGGAAATGTATGTTTCATCTTGTGTTAATTCAATAATTGAAATTATCTCCATCTATTTGTCTATCATCTGTCTGTCTATCATCTATCTGTCTATCCATCCATCCATCATCTATCTAATCTATTTATGGTTTTGTGGATTTTCCTATTCACTGAATTCTCAGAATGTTGTATTTAGGTCTAGCTAGTGTTTTATTTAGGTCTAGCTCTATCAAGAGACAGAATTCCTTCCATACATATGGCAATCTGGAACTAGTAGCTATCTTGGGTAATAACTATTCAGAAAAGATAAGTAAACAAAATTGGCATACTCCCTAAAGTACCCTTCTCCCCTCAGACATACCAAAGGGCATTGTTCTGTTAATGGTGCTTAAAATACAATTTAATAACCAGTTCTGTTAGCTTCTGCATAAACATATGGAGAAGCTCAATCTTAAATATAATGGGATGGCTTTGAAATCTATGAGTCTGATCTGTAGCTGTCAGTTACTGTGTCTGCTCCACCTTGAAGTGACATCTGAAGTCCAACCTCCACTAACCAGGCATATTTCTCACTGAGCTCAGTTGCTGGTGACCCTATAAACACATTTATGCAATTTTCTTGACAATAGTTCACAAATGAACTACTTTTTTTCTTCTGGAATGTTTGTTTTTTTACTTCCCAACCTAGCCCATAATTCACTGAAAGTTCTCCCAAGCTGACCAATAAGCAGGTTTGATTCTGCTTGGCTTCCTGGTCTGCAGTTTCTGCCATCTTCCAAATCATGCTGGGGTTATATTATGGTATTGTTATAATGAGTTTTTTTTTCCTTGTCTTCATCCTCTCTCTTGGTTTGAAGAGGGTTGGGGGGATCATTTATTCCTCTCCTTATATAAGGTGTTCACTGATTCTGGCCAGGAAAAGAAAAAGAAATATTGATTGCCCTCCTCCCTACAGAAAAGTCATCTAGTTTCTTCTATTTGCCACTTTTGGAAATAGAACAGCATCTTGTGGTGTGCCTGGGCCTCCTCCTTAACAACTGATTAACTTATTTGAGAAAAAAGAAGGATCACCCATCCCCAGAAGGGAATCTGTCAATCAGCATAACTCCTATAGCTTTTGTGGATTATTTGGTATGAGTTTCTTTCCAAAACCAATTATTTTATTTGTTGCATTTATAGCTCACCTTTCCTACTACCACACCCTTTACAAATTTTCTTCGTAATAATCCTATGCCATATATCAAGCTAGGATATTGTGACTGATCCAACCTACCCACTGAATTTCATGAATTTAATCTGTTTATTATAGTCTCAGGAAAAAATATGACATTATTACGAAGACATATTATTACATATTGCATCTCTAGCATTTCTCCCAGGAGTCTTAAATCCACCTTAGTTTATTAATTATTAAGGTTGATTTAATGTGCACAGTGGAGTTTTAGAATCTAATAAATAAAAACTATTTTCCAAACATCAAAATCTTCAAAATTTAGCTGCTAATAATTAAGTGCTTTCCTGTGTTAAGCAATAGCAATAGCAATAGCAA